ATACAAAACAAGGTTGCCATGTCAACCAAGCAGACTAACATGTGTACCCACTAGGGTGCGGGAGCAATGCCTCCGGTAAAATTAGGGGATGGGAATGGTTGCGATTAGGATTCACATGGGAGCCAAATGCTGTTGCATGTGAACCCATGAGTAGGGGTGCCCATGCTCACCCTTCGTGAAGGGTTCCCATGTGAACCCTAGAGGCTTCTGTCCTGGGACAACACAGGCATACCTTTGAAGGTGTACATACGCACCTTTTTTTTTTCTTTTTTTTTACAGTGTAGGAGGTAGTAAAAACATATCCTTGATAACAGCAAACGGGAAGCCACCTTCACTGACAACAGGCCTGGAAGAAAATGGTTCAGTAATTTCCTTATTCGACACCCAGATGCTTCAGTCAGGTTGTCCGAGAATGTGGGGAAGGAACGACCCACGCTAACATGGGAAAAATACCAATCGTCTTTGGCATTTCTGTCTCTTGCCCTTTTTTCCACCCACACTTTTTCTGCAAACCGCAGGTTCACGTGGCGAATATGGAAAAATTTGTGTGTGTGGAAGGGAATAAATTCGGTATTGACTCATGCAACATTAGAAAGGATTACTAGAGATATTGTTTAAATTTATTAAGGGAAAACTTTACATGTTCTCCAAGGACTTTCTTCGGTGAAGTTACACGCAGCCAGAGTTGGGCCCATTTTGAGTAAGGCACTCCCTAGAATTGTGTCATATGATGTTCCAAGATTGATTCCATGTACCAAACAGAAGAGGATGTCACGAGCCGGCGAGTTCTTCACACAAAATGAAGCAAACTAGTCATCTGGTGATAAGAACGCATTCGGTTTTTCATGCTTTTGATTCCACTGCCACAGATTTCGGTCAAAACCCATGCCAGAAAATCGACGTCACAGCAGGGAAATCCGAATTTTCGGATGCTGATTTGCCCATTAAAGTCGGGGCGATAAAGTTAATCCAACCATCCTAATTTCGCTAAGATGCACCCGATTGCGGATGTTATCGATTTTACAAGTTCGCGCTATGAACTGCGGTTGGCAGAAGTGCGAATAAATATAAGGTCATTCACAAACTGGCTCAATAGCTATTCGCAAACAGGGGCAAGTTGTTCGCTACCTATGAAATTCAGGTATGCAGCGTTTTGAGCTGTCCTGCAGCAATGCGTGCAAGGGATGACGAGAGGGCAGGCATAAATATTATCAGACACTTGGGAGTGGGGGGAAAGCGGAATCACCATGAATGCTAGTGTGACCTAGAGTTCGATCACCTCTCCTTAGCTTGTTCGCTCCACTACGTTGGAAAACACATGGATTTCAAAGGTCCAAAGGATTGGCAATAGTTTAGCTTCGCAGTTATACGAGTCATATATTCACGGTCACAAATTCCCTATAAGATACTTTTGAAATAACTACTCAAATAATCGAAAGCTACACAAGAATTAAGCTCACAATATTTAAGAACTCAAGAACTTCACAAAATGACGACACAAACTTCGAGAAAACGAAAAACTGAATTTGCAGTGACAAGATAATTCAGAAATCCGAAAAAAAGTTTGTTATTTTCATAATTTCCCATTGAGGTCAATTCGCTGCATGGGCAATAATAGCCGTTGGTTATTATTGGTCAAAAAACCTCTTCCTATGCATAATGATTGGATAATCATTTGAATTTCGAGGGTAAGAAGAGAAATGAAATGGATTGGTGGGTCCAAACCAAACCCATTCTATTGTTCGATAATTTTCCTATATCTACAAAGGTCTATTCCAGTTGTACTGAGAATGTTAACCGCTGTGTTGGCCATCAGTAAACACAGAGCACTTCACACAAAAGTTTGCATCGATGCAGTGGCGTATTTTGACTGAAGTGTCGGGGTGGGGGCAGGGCAATAGAGTGAAACCCCACCTGAGAGATATCAGGAGAGAAAAGTAGGGTAAGTGCTGCGAATGTCGGCACTGGGGGTAATCTCGGCACTTTGCAATTGTCAGAGTTCTGCTTCCACAACTAGTGACCTAGGCACGGGCAGATAAGTATTCTCAGATGGTAGCACTAATGTTGTTAACATGTGCTTGGAACAGTCACATTTGCTGTTTTAGTTCTCTCGCAGTGGCCACTTTCTCTAAGCGCACCCCGAAAATCCTGCGAAATCTTGTGATTTTGCTAAGCGTTTTCACATTCCGTTCTTCTCTTCCACACCAGATATTGTTTTAGCTGGTCGTGGCATTCATTTTTGGATCTGTTGTAAACGACAGTGATACATAAGTGTGCCGAGATTCCCGACAGGGTGGTGCCATCTATACTAGCAAGTGTGCCGAGATTACTAACATCTGACCCAACTTCACCTTTGACCCAGGCCCTCGGAAATGAAAGGTCTGGGGCACTCGAGGTTTGCGGTATAAGAAGGTTTATAATAAAGTTATCACCAGACCCATTATGAACGAGGAAGCTCCATTACGAAAACCAGCAAGCAAGGTGGAAGTGCAGAATTTGCTTAGAGTGCTGACATTCGCAACACTCACCCTATTGCCTCTAAGGTGGGGCTAGACTCTGTCCCAGAGGCGTCTGGGGGCGAGTACCCCTCCGTAAAATACGCCACTGCATCGATGGAACTCTGTATTCGTTTCTGACCTGCACATCGAAATATGTTTGCAGGTACAGCCAAGAAACCTGCACTGAATAAACCATGTTTTCTCAAGGCAGTTTCATGTCCCCGTCTTTCCTCCCAATATTGCATCAATTAGGATGCATGTGGCCATGAAGCGCTGGTTGTTTTCAGCTAATTTAGTAAATCATC